GTAAATAATAATAAAAACCCTTGATTTATAACTTAACATCTCTGTCTCCTATTGATCTGAGTATATTATAAAGAATAGCCAGTTAATTGAAGCATTATAGCACAGGCCTTTGTCAGATGGTATATTACGCTGTTTTTTTTCTGCTTCGAATAGTTCTCTCTTTTTTCACCATATCTGTTTGCATCACTATAATAAACACACATACTGTATGTGAAATGGATTTATCTGCCTTCTTTCATTTATCTTTCTATTCCCACAACAATATACATAAAGAAATGGCATATTTTGGACATAGTTTGAATGGTGATTAATCATGATTAATTCATTTTTAAGCTGTGATTAATCTGATTAAAAATGTTAATCGTTTGACAGCCCTAATTTGAACATCACCTGATATTCTTGTACAAGGAGCTTGGACAAGCCTCAAAACTGCCAACCTTAGTCCTCGTCATTTCAAAACTGTTGGACCATCTCTTTCTGACAATCTGAGGCTAGACAACCTGCAATTTGGCAAATGTATAACAATGAAATGTGATTTAATATAGCAAGTCAACTTTACAACGCATTCTAAAACAAAAAAAGTCATTAAGTATCAGCCTTTTTTATGTCTAAATCCAAGCAAAGGACAAACTATTATTCTGAGATGAGGTTTTCGTGGTTGATTGGAGGTATAAATAATATAGCTGGGTGTTTCCCTCTCTAGATTGGTGCACTATCTGCGAAAAGTGATGGCACGGGTCAAAATGACGATGGCGAGCTAACGTTCCTGGGCCGAGTGCTGGCCCACCTGCCTGTGGACCTGTGCCTGGGGAAGATGATTGTCCTGGGACACATCTTCGGCTGCCTGGACGAGTGCCTCATCATAGGTCAGTCTGTTATTATGCTACTGGAAGAGACCTCCGTTTTGGCAAATGCATGTCATTACAGCAATCTTGCTAATGGGTTTGTGAACATAACAACAAACCATAAATAATGAGGTTGTGCTTTTTCATGGGCTGTTTGCAATAACAACAACAACTTCTCTTATGCTCAGCTGCCTCGCACTCTCAGAAGAGTTTCTTTGCCATACCATCCATGCAGCAGCTGGCCGGCCACAGGTGAGTCACATCCATCAGCTGAGTCACTGACTGCCAGTCTGTCAGTCTGGATCACTTTCGTGTTCCACCAAAGTGGCATTAGGTATTTTTCAACTCTATTAGTCCAATATTTTCTTGTCTAATGGGGACAACAAAGGCAATGAAAGTTGTCTGAAAACATTATAGAAAATACATATTTTCTTAAAACCTGCTTTTCACAGTAAGATAACTGAATGTTTTGGCAAATCGGAGCACAAACATACTGTATGTTCTTGCAGTTCCCATGTAGATGCCTACAAGGCCCAGGCTGCAGACCTGCAACTTGTTTTCATCAATCTCCTTACAGTCTGCAAACAGATATTTGCTCTGTGTAATGTATGTTTTTTTCTTCTGAACAATGAATAATATTTGTTATTCTAGGAGCAAGTTGGCCTTTGCGCAAGGCGCGCAAAGTGATTCTATAAGTTTCGTCAATGCCTTCAAGGTAATGTGCTTGTTGGCAGGTCAGCAGCAAGTCCAACCACGTTCAATGGATTTACATATTTGCCTGATGGCTGCTGTTTATAAAACCCTTCCCTGTTTTTTCTTTCTGTCAGGCATGGCACTCATCCAAAAAGAAAGGACAGCTGAGACATCCAAAGGTGAAGAAAACAACACCAAACATCAGCTCTGAATCAACAAATACGGAACAAAAGACGCTAGTTTATTTTCCTTTTGTGCTACTGTTGTTGTACAGAGCCAACCTTTGACAACAAGTCAATCATCCTAAATGATTTTAAAGATTAGTATCGTCGTACAGTTAATTGCCCTGACCTATTTAGTAATACATATACATAGCACTGTACAAAGGAAACTTATCACGCTTCAGCTGACAGTACTGCTAAACGCTGTGTGAGCGTTGTCTCTTTTAAGATGGTTGGACAAAAGCCTATGTTAACATTTCAACTATTTACTCAAGCTTTTATTTTGGCTGTGAGAATCAGTGGCGCACTCTCTTTTGTTCTGTGTTTATCCTTGAAGTTAATGTTTTCTGTGCCCCTGCTACTTCTACTTAGGATGAGCTGGACTGGGGAAAGGAGAACTTCATTCAGATCAAGAGGATCAAGGAGGTACAGAGATCAGGCCGAGAGATGGGTCATATTACAGGAAGTCTTTGTCATCGCAATCACATTTTTGTTTGGTACAGTCAGGCTGTAAATATATATCAAACAAGGAAGGCATTATTGACAGATGATACTTGGTGTATACATTCCATGTCAGATCAGTTAATAATGCCTTTTGGAGCACAGTTGACTGTTTAACGTGTCAACTTCCAGTCTGAAGGAATTGACATTTAAAAATGGAGCTGTGTAATGTGGCGCAGACCTCAGAAGTAACTTACTGTCCAGGTTGCAGAGCTGTACGAGGACCTGAAGAAGCGTGTCTCCCAGTTCAACATACATGTGCCGCAGAGCCCTCAAACCTTGGATTACACCGGCGCACACAGGCAGAAGTTCATTCTTCAGGTAAGAGTCAGTGATACCCATTGTATGAAGCCTCTTTGCTAATGTGCAAAGAATCCTATCACCTGGCTTTTGTCTGCAGTGGGAAAGTGTACAATCACCATTCATTCCAGGTACCGATAACTCTGCAGAGGTGATGAGTCGTGTGGTGCAGTGGTTTGTGTGTTGGTGTTCGGATCAGGTTCAAACCCCACTGCAGTCAGCATGTCGTTGTGTCCCTGAGACACTTCATCCCGAATTGCTCCTGCGGGGATTGCCCACAGTATTGAGTATGTAAGTCGCTTTGGATAAAAGCGTCTAACAAGTGACATGACATGTAATGTCTTTATCAGTTCCAGTTTATATTGGCAGTCATGAAAACATTACAGTCGGGTGCACTGGCTTACTTTCTCCCGTGTAGTATTCATCTACAACTCAATGTCAGTTTGTTTTAGGTTGCACTTCTCTTTTTCTTAGGTGGTCATTGCTGGTGCCCACTACCCTCACTACTTTGTCCAGGGAGAAATAGATGAAGACCTGGCCTCCAGAGAGTTGAGTGGTTTCAACCCCAGAACAACAGTGATGGTACGACCCATAGTGTTAAAATAATAGTTTTCTGTTCTAAACTATATTATAATTGTTATCAACTGACCTCTTTATTGGTGTGTTATCACTATCAAATCCCTTATGGCTTTTTAATGTTTTTTAGCCTTATTATGTGGGAAAATTGGATAAACTAACACCCGACTTCCTGTTGTTTTTAGGTGAGGAACCTCCCTCCATACTCTTTCCTGTACTACAAGCAGCTGCAGTCTCTGTTCCGTCTGTGTGGACAGGTCAAAGCCATTTCCTTTGACAGCTCCAGGTAATAAAAGCCACTATAGCAAATCAGACATTATCTACTCCTCTTTTCAAAGAAACATTGAAATATGCATGGTCATTATTCCTATGTTTGTTTTCTCAGAGCATATGTGGAGTTCTACAGGACGTCCCAAGACTCGGGGGTGCTGCCTGAGGTGTCTCTGGCCCTCCTCCTGCCACAGCAGAGTGCTCCCTTGGAGCTGTCTGTCTTCCCCATCGAACAAATAGAGATCTTGGCTGAGGGTAGAAGCATAACTCACATGAAAGCTGCACGGTAAGGCACTATTCAAACATTAAACAAGTCTTTCTGTATGCGAGTGAAATCAGTTGGTGCAAGAGCAGAGATGTTTTACTGTCTGTATTTTGCGGCTGAAAAGTCAGTGCCCCTGCATTGGTCACTGCCCCTGTGCTTAGCCTTAATATAATGTGACATCCTCACACTCTGCATGACTCTGCAGCGATCACATGGACTCACAGAGGGGAGGTTTGAGGCAGAGGCAGCACCATCTTCTTCCCATCTCCCCCTGAGAGGGGCTTCACATTATTAGCTATCTAACAATAATACAGCTAACTGAGAACAAGACTGCGGTCATTTCTTTGATGCATGTTCACGACTTGCCATAAAACTCATCAGGATCATTTAGTGTGAGTGGATAATCTTACCAGTGATTTGTTAGAAAGCTTGTTGTTTTCTTATGCTTAATGATCAGATCTGAGTAAATATAATGTTGATCACACTAGTGCACAATATTTAGCTAGATAGCAAATGTTTACAAAAATACTTCTGTAAACACAATCCACAACATGACAGTCTTTTCACTTTAATATTCATAATTACATTTACATTGTTTGTTCAGGATATCTTTATACCCCAAGCACTGGCCAAGCAAATCTGTGATATATAAGGTTAAACATATAATTAATAAAAAACAAAACTATAAAGTCCGTTTCTCTATGTGCTGCTGCTGTGCAGGGTGAATGTCGACTTCCAGAACCAGACTGTCTGCCCGGTGGGAGTGGTTTCTGGGGCCGTTGACCCTGAAAAGTTACCCCCCAACCACTTGTTTGTGGTCAACGTCACAGAGGTTAGTCCTTTACATTTAACCTGGTCAAACAGGTCACCTTTATGAGAGAGACCCATTTGTTTTTGTTTTCTTTGTCTTAAACTGAATGAATGAGGGGTGTTGAAATGAATAGTTTCCAAGATGCATCATGATGTAATCAATTTGTGAGACCAGGGAAGACGCACAGCCATAGAATGAATGTATCCTCTTGTCACTGTCTGTGCTTCAGGTGGTGGAGGTGGGTCATTTCTGGGGTTTCCAGGCAGATGAAGCCAGCCTGGCCAAGCAGCGCCGCCTGACAGCAGAGATAAACTCCTGCACGCTGCAGCCGGTGACTGTGTCTCTGTACCCCAACCTGCTGTGCCTGGCTCCCTACTCTGAGACCAATGAGCAGAACATGTACTACCGAGCCAAGATCCTGCACATGCGCGGCACCACAGTGGAGGTGAACGTCACTCACTCGCTGCATCTCAGTTGTCAAGATGTAGTGCACCCATTCATCTTTCTCAAAACAAGTCTCCTTTACTTATCCCCTTTCTTACTTTCAATGTTTTAACTCTTTCCCATATGATTATGTCATAGTAGAAGATAATTAATGTTAAGTGATGCTGATCAAGGGGTGACCAAGGGGCAACAACTAACCGACTTAATAAATCGATGACCAAATTAGTTGCCAACTAATTCACTCGTCGATTCGTTGGTGACGTCATCACGTGTGTTTTACGCGTCGTTAAGCTCCAACGTTATCGGTCTTTTTATCGGTACTGGAGACATTTAAAACGTATGTCTATGTATTATTGCTACTTAAACTTTATATCGCAGTCTTAGTGTCGCCAACTCCGTTTCTAATAAGCAATAATACTACAAAATGCGTCTATGATGTAATTTCGATCTTTCCAATCCAGACGAAAGATCTCTCCCTCCCCCGTCTGTGTGCGAGGGGGCGGGGCAGTTTACACACACGCAGCGCATACATGCACGCAACACACACACGGCCGTTAAGAGTAGCCTACCGTTAAAGGACCGGATCGATAAGCAATATAAAAGTAATAGTACAGTTAAAACCTTAATGATCCGATTAATCGATTATCAAATGAGTCGTTTGTTGCAGCCCTAAACTCAAGCTTATTTGATCTAGAATACTTAATATTACCGGGTTTGATATTGCCTTTTGTCCAGCGCCCGCACCTTTGTGCCACCAAATGTAGATTTGAAATGCCCTGAAAGTAATTTTTAGACCCTCCAGCAAAAAAGGGCTAAAATCCTTGATTATGCGATTAAACATGCGGGGTTTATGTGATTTTATGCGGTGAAATTGCGGGAAGTTGCGAAAAAGAATTGATTTTTTTTTTTAATACTGGGCTGTCTTATTTATTCTCTCTCACACACAACCTGCCACTAACGTTACACACCTTTCCTATTTTAAACACATTCAATGTTTATTTATTGTAAAAGCAATTGGGCTATTTTAATCACACACTCTCTCTCACACACACACACACACACACACACACACACACACACCACACACACACACACACACACACACACACACACACACACACACACACACACACACACTTCTCCGCCTCATTCTGTTTTCATTTACTCGTTCGTTATCTGACCAGCTTCAATCTTGTAGGCTACTCACTTCGTTTCTTGTAGCCCTCGAAAGGGTTTTGGAGGTTGATGCCTCGCTGAACGTGAGTTGTTTGGCTTTCTTGTCCGCAGCAGCAGAAAGCATTTTCGAATGTTTGAATGAATCAAAGTGGGTCGTCACCGTCGATTTTCTTAGAGATTTATGCTCCAACACACAGTTGCACGGGGTGCAGAATAGTTTCCCCCCACTTTCGTGAAAGACATCGGGGTACTGCTTTGCCCGGTCTTTAGCAGAAATGTTCGTCGTGTGAGTTCTACACGTTCACTCTACGGTGTTGTTTACCTTCTGTGATGCGCGAGCTGATGACGTCGCGTCACTCATCATCACTACTTCACGTCAAGACGAGTTAACTTTTTGTTCCCTCAACTTTGTGTGGAAAAATGCAGGGATTATGCGGCCTTTTGATAAATATGAGGCCTTTTACAAATCTGCGCCATTTTGCTGATTATGCGGTAAATTCTGCGATCGTATAAAAACTGATTAAGTATGGACATTCACACTTTTATATTTTTAATTTACGAAGGAAATACATTATTTAAAACAAAAGCAGAGGGACAGAGTAAATGTATTTTTAATAGAAACAAATAAAAGTCAAACATTTGTGAACCATTGTCTGGTTTAGTCATCTGTCAGTATTTTGTATTCATGCAGACAAGAAATTAGTATTTTATTTAAAATCTTAAAAACATATAAAGGGCTCGTTGTCACCAGAAATGAAGGCTTGTGACTTTAGAACTGACCTCAGTGTCGACCTTTGAGAGTGTTAAATAGAAGGTAGTGTCTGCAGTATGTGATAGCCGTTTCAGATGTTACTTTAGGTACCAGATTACAGGCTCTGTTGTCGTCCTGCAGGTGTTCTTCTTGGACTTTGGCAACACTGGGGTTGTTTCCTGCAGCGGCCTCAGGGAGCTACCTCCTAATCTTCAGTCTCACCCATTCCAGGTAGCAATATTACGAGTGGTCAGATCATTTATTCACAATTACCTGTTCCGATGTCCTGGCTGGGAACTAGCAGTAACACACACACACACACACACACACACACACACTCTGCTCACCGTCTCAGGCTCAGGAGTTCCAAGTTACTGCGATGCGTCCGTCAGCTCAGTCCATCATCCTGGGGAACCAGTGGAGCAGCCGAGCACGCGACCGCTTCATCACGCTGGTGAAGGGCCGCTCGCTCGTCGTGTCGCTGTACTCCATCCTGCACGGGGTCATGCGTGTACAGCTGCTCATCGACACAGAGACCTCCAACACCAGCGCTGTGGACATCTTGGTGGAAGAAGAACATGCCATGAAGGCCGAGGAGAGCTTCGATTCAAAGGTGACACAACAGTTGGGAGCTAAGGTTCTCTCTAATGAAATGTATTAGAAAGCAATGAATCATAACAAGCTCTACTTAAAGACATATCTCAGCTAAACAACGTTTGGGACTATTAACAACTTTCATTCAGGCATGCTAGGAGTTTTCATTTTGGCAGCTATTTTTTTCTTTTTAGTTTTTGTCAAATTGTCATTTTACTTAGTCATTACTTTTATTTGAAGTAATGTGTCAAATGTCGTTTTTTTAATTTGATTACATTTGATCGAAGTGTTTTCTCTTTAGAGAGAGAAAGCAGTTGGTTTAGTCCTAAATTAACATCACTTACATTTCACTGCTCCCACAGGGACACACCTACAAGTGTTCCTCTTTCTACTTGCAGTACTGATTGTTCCTAGCAGATGTTGTGTTTGGACGCTGTGAGCAACGTTGTGATGAAAATAAAAGCATGAATCATTGAGTTAGTTGGGTTTTTAGGACCAACCTAACTGTAAATCACTACGAGAAACACCAATGTTTCGAGAACCATGCTAGCCACGATACAGAAAGATCCAATAGCTTTGTGCCCATTTCATTTTAGATGTCTTATTTGTGTGTTACAGCAAAACCATGAGATAATAATGTCCCTGTACAAAGACATGGAGAGAGGAACGTATGTCCCCAACGCTGCCAGCAGCTCCTGGAATGATCGCAAGAGAGAGGAGAAGGAGATCATTGACGACCTGCTCACCCACTTCGCCAAGGGCCGCCATTCCAAGACCAAGGCACGATACACTGCACGATACACTGCACGATCCACTGCACGATCCACTGCACGATACACTGCACGATCCACTGCACGATACACTGCACGATCCACTGCACGATACACTGCACGATACACTGCACGATACACTGCACTGCATCATGCAGAATATTTTCAGGATATATTTGCACTAAAATATAAAAAATGTTTTTTGTATTTCAGGATATATTTGCACCTTTCAAAAACACTATTACAGGTCCTTTAGAAATAAGTACAATCCATTAAGAGAAATATTTCAGATTAAAATGTTTTTTCAGGAGAGATAAAAAAAAAAAGGACAAAGATTTTTAGTTTCCAAGATGCTGTTTTTTGAGATGATGACGGCATCACTCCTGCAACTCTCAGTTCGTCCTGCAGATGGAGCCTCTTCAGTGACTCAGTTCCTGTGCTGTGTTCATTCGGGGCACACCCATTCTGTCTGACAAGCTGAACAATGACAATAGGGAGACTGTCACAATAATCCATGCATGAATACGTTACATGATGTGTCTGACTGCCGCCTCATTTCTACACCACAGGTTAATCTGTACGGTCCACACAGTCCCAATAAGATAAGCTTCTACAGCTTGAGCCACAGAACCAGCTACAAGTAAGCAATTATATGGCGGCCAAATGAATTGAGGGTAGAGATTGGACAATATATGATGTGATATTAGCAACATTCACAATACGAGTAGATGCTGGATAATGTTTATTTTTGGGATAATCATGAATAACCTCCCAAGTGACATTAAGCTTGATATCCTGGGTGTGTAAAAAAGGGTCTGATATTTTATTAATGTAGGGTACCATTATGATTTATAATTGCAAATATTTTGCCAGAATAGTTGTGATATGAATCGTGTGTGTGTGCTCGCTCCTGCAGGACAGTGTGTATTGAGAGAAGCAGCATCAACTCGTTGGCCCTGAATGACAGCCCTCACTACAAACATCAGAGGATGCTGGTGGCTGGGAGTGTGTCAGTCAACGCCACAGGTACCGGATATAGCATTTCACAACAGCTTAAAGCAGGGGTGTCCAAACGACGGCCCGGGGGCCAAATGCGGCCCACGGTCCATTTGGAAATGGCCCTCAGCTAATTAAAAAAGTATAATGAAGTATGGCCCACAAATGAACTTGTGCTTGTCATATATTGTACTTCTTAAATATGTATGTACAAATATATTACACCGTAGTATTCATGTGTTAAAAAGCCCAATTTTCAAATAAATTCTGTCAATTAAAGTTGGGAAAAATGTCAAATAACTCTTAGTTGATTAAAAAAAGCCCAATAACTTATTGCCATAACAAGCTTGAAATCTACCCTTCATATTTCCTCTTTTTGTAAGCAATCTGAAGCTCCTGTTTTAAGGAATGAGCTGCTAACATGTCTTATAACTAAATAAAGTAAACCCCTTTTGAGAGCTGGGATTTCGGCTGTTGTGTTTCTTAAAGCATTTTCAAGTATCAAGCATCATTTGCCTAAATTTGATTCATTTTGCTCATTTATCACTGAACTTGTGTCCCAGCCCTTCGTATAATTTTCGGTTTGTGGCCTTCAGCGAAAAAGGTTTGGACACCCCTGGCTTAAAGCTCCACTAATCAATATTTTTTAATAATTGTATCACATGATTATATGAGAGGAGTCGCTTGACGTGACAAACACAAACTATCAACCAAAATCAGCCGACCCTCTCGCTTTTTAGTCTATTCTCATATTTAGAAGATGACTAGAGAAAGCAGCTTATATTTATGATAAACCCACTTTACACTACATGCCTAGCACCGGACAGCAAACCAAGTTAGCAACTAGCTGGTGATCATAATGGAGCAACAGATGCTCGTTTATCTTTTTCTTATGTATGAATATTAGACATGAAGTTGTCTGGTCTCCAAAAAAGCCAAAATACACATAAACGCTCATGTTGATCTGTTTTGGCTGAATGTGAAAACATGCTAATGTATTTACCAAATCAGCTATATATGTAATCTTATGGTATGACCGCTTTTTTTTTTCATTCTAAATGTCGATGTCAACTGTTGCAGCTTTAAATGTGTCTCTGTGTTGCAGGGACACGTATTCTACTGAGAGAAACCACCATGATGCCAGACGTCCCCGGACTGCCTGCGCTCCTCACCATGCTCTTCACGCCCATCATGGAGCTACGGTAGGTCAGACACAGACTTATTATTGCAGGCCTCATAATCCAAATCCAATGTTTACACCCCCTTCCCACTTTTATTGGTAGCACTGATGAAGAGAGGACCTGCTACACCGGCGCCCTCTGTGGCTTGGGCTGGTACGGCCAGAAACAGGAGGGCATCCTAGCGGAGCATGACATCGAACTCGCCTTCGATGTCAAATTTGATGTTGAAGACATCACTGAGGTACAGCTGTGTATTGACTGAGTGGAATGCTATTTGTTTGTTATGCATTGGTTAAGTGATTAGTACCCATTTATATTTGTTCAAACTTTTTTACTTCATGTTCTGCCACATGATGTAGAATTTTCTTTAGTTTATTACTGATTGATTAGTTTCTTTCTGTCTTTTTAAGATAAATGCTTTGCGAGTGGCTGTGAACCGCCTCGTCTGTGAAGGGCCCAATGGCACCATTCATCTGGGGCCCGATAGGATCAGCCAGCTGCAGGAGGACTGCCGGGACCGCCTCATAAGGTCAATCACAGACACCCACAGAAATCAAGTGTGAAGTTCATCAATGTGAAAGCACGTATTGATCTGTGTTGATGTTATGTAATGCAGGCTGTTCACCAAGTCGCCTCCAAGAGAAGAAGGCCCTCAAGTGTTCTTCGAGAAACCAGAGAAATGGAACCAGGTAAGGAACACGACAGAGCTCCTGAATCTAATTGTTTTCGTCCTCTTCTTGTCAGTTTTGTGAGCAGAATTTACCTACTTTTTTTGAAGTGTTTGTTTATTGAACCTTTAGGTGGATCCTGCTCTGAAGATGGACATCGTGGAGCCTGAAGGAGGAAAGACCGGAAGAGTCCTCTTCCAGCTGCATTCTGTCACTCTGCTCAACAGCTGAATAGTTGCTGTTCTCCTTCCATTTGTGTTCAAACAGAACTGATTCCTATGTTGTGCTTTTGACAGTTGCCTGGAATTTTTATATACTTATGTTCAGAGGAGTATATCTTTTTTTTTTAAGTTCAAATGAGTGTGCCTTTTATCTGCACAGGAAAATCCTCAATCCTCACTGAGTTGGAGTTGTAATCCCCCGTTTAAATACATGACAAGCTGCTAATAAGAAATGTAAAGCTCATTCATGTGAAAGCTCCTGTATAGCACTCTGTTACAGCCCTTCAGCAGAGGTCTATTAAAAAGAGTTGTGTGCAACAGATGAGGCTTGTCAATCAGTGTTCATTCAAACATAGCCTCATTGTGACCTAAGACTCAAGTTAAATATACACACACACACACACACACACACACACACACACACTCTCTCTCTCTCTCTCTCTCTCTCAACACACACACACACACACACACACACACACACACACACACACACACACACACACACACACACACACACACACACACACACACACACACACACACACACACTCTACTACTACTACTCACACACACACACACACACACACACACACACACACACACACACACACACACACACACACACACACACACACACACACACACACACACACACACACACACACACACACACACACACACACACTACACTACTACTAACTACTACTACTACTACTACTATACTACTAACGTACTACTACACACACACACACACACACACACACACACACACACACACACACACACACACACACACACACAGCTCCTACTACGAGGTGAACTAGTGTCTGCGCCAGATTTCATTGGCTGGTATTTTTAACTCATTCCAGGTCTCCTATCCATCCAAAGTGTTATCACATCCAACTTAGCCATGGTTTCACACACAACTCATCTTCACCCCCTTGAAGGTCTCCAATGAATGTGAACTCATCAGTAAAGTGGCCAGGAGATGTTTTACATCAAGGTACATTTATTTTTCTTATTCTTGTAATTAAATACATAGTGTAAGTGCAAATAGTTAAAGAGTCCAGGGTCTAAAGAACTACAGAGTATAGTCGAACATAGTACAAAGTTGGACAGTTATTCAAACAAGCTAAATATCACCAGATACTCCTTGTCTTCATAGTAGTTGTACAACAGTACCTTAAACATGAGTGTGTGTTGTTCCTATGGTTATACAAAAGCAAAAAACCTACGATTACCACATCTAAGACGCATATTGTTAAATTATGTTGTGCTTGGAAAACACCAAAGGAAATCATTTTTGCTATTTATATATATGGACATATACTGAGAAGCCCTGTCTGCTAACTCAGAAACATGAAGCAGTTTTTAACATTGGCATCAGAGCACGTCTGTGGGCATTTAGCTTCTTTTGTGCCAGACCATACAATTTGCCGGAGGCACTGCAAAGCAAAAATGTAGCGTGATTTTAAAAACTGCACAAAAGATATCAAATATTATTTACCCAAGGCTCGACTTCATGCACTTTAATAATAAGCAACACAAAAAAAGTCAGTTTCTTTTTTTGTTTTCGAGTTGTGTACTTGTCTACCTAGAAACAGGATATGTACGTGTGACTGTTAGTGTTAAGACCGCTATAGACAGGGTGACGGTTTCTCCAGTGGATGCTTTTAGAGAACACCAAGATGACGTAGCACTATGCCCCACAGATGACGACCAGGCTCTTCAACAGTGACCGAGCTGCCTGACTCCGAGCTGACTGTCAGCTTCATGGTGAGACAGACACTTCTACTCCTCCTTCCTCTTGGCCCCGGGGATCTTCGCTTGGATCCTACACAAAGAAAATAAGCCTTAATACCACATGTCAAACAAGGTGTTTATTATTATTATACTGCCTGCCGTTTTTGTACTCTCTTTTTATGGTAGTCCATTGAACTGGGTGTCAAGTTTGACTAAAATAGGAACATTGACAGTAATCAGTCTTTAAAAAACTACAGGCAGACATTTTGGCATCTGTTAACCCTTTAAAAGCTCATTTTAAGTTGATCGGTTAACACGGTTAAATAATAAACCAGTCCGTTTTTGTATTAAACTGATCACCTTATCCACCATGACAACCTTAGCATCAGTAGCCTTTTTTTATTTATCGTAAACAGACTTCATAGTGGACACTGTTCATTCATGAGCACAATTGTAAAATATGAAATAACTTCTATCAATGCAATATTGGAAACCTGGCAGCTTCCGATTACAACTGCACTCTTATCTGCTGGCCAATGAGGGGAGGCGAGTGAAGTCACAAAGGGAAGTCAGTGGTACATTTGATTACTTGGCTCACTATTTGTGTACAGGGTGCTCTGATTGATTTCTTATGCCTTGTAGCTACATGTGTTTGTATATCGTAAGTGAAGAAAATGTCTTAATGGCAAACACTCACTTTCCCACCACAGAGTTGACCTGGGTCCGTATTAATCCCACATACTGATCGATCTGTGCCTGAAAACAAAAGGAAAGGGACAAGTGTAAATACAGGACATTATTTAGTTAAATAGGGTTGACTTCAGTTATCATAAAGCTCAAATTCTTACCTGATGCTTCTCATAGACCACAGGCATGGTGAACATGGAGACCACAACTGTAGAGGCATGGGGAGAGAAATGTTAAAGTATTCTGACCTACAGTGGGGCAAGGTGGCCTCCAGCGCACACCCTGACACTTATCTAATGTAAACTGGAAAAGTAAACAGATAACGCGCACGTTCAGCAGTGCAGTAAACACGTTGAATGAAGTACATTTGATCTGGCATAGTAATAAGGACATGCTGTACTTCTCACTAATGACACATATTGTATAATACAAAATAGCTCTGTAGATTATTAAACTAAGTAACAAAAGGCCCAAAGACGAATGATTGTGTGTCGAGATGACCTCACCTAGGATGAGCAGTGTCAGGCCGTTGAAGAGAGCGCCCACGTAGGTCAGCAGCCACATCAGAACAGCAAACTGAAAGGAAATACCACATTTATTCTTTGTAAGCTGCATTTCTAATCGTATAAACCACCAGATTGTTTCATGAAACACGTTAATAAAGGGTAGCAGAGCTGATGTAACACTGTGATGCAGTTTGAGGCAAACCTTCAAGGAGTCGATCAGGTCTTGCACGAGGAACAGCCTGCGGAGCTCCTTCATACAGGTGTTGGAGTACAGCAGGATTTTGTCAGCATATTTACTAATCTGGTCCTGGGAGAGAGCAATTTCCATCTCCAGGTAGGATCTGGCAATAAATACAGGGTTGGGAATATAAACCTTTCAGTGAGTACAATCTATAGACTTATTCGTGAAATCCAACAATCTCCTACTCTACTCACTTGAAAGGATGTCCCTCATCGGTCTTCTGCACAGCCTGCAGCACAGACTTGTAGATCCTGAAGCTGATGGAGGCAGAGAGCGCTGCCAGGGCCAAGTACGCCCCGACGCTGACCATGCTGAACTGGGTCAGGGAGAAGAGGAGCAGGAGCACGCTGCTGAACACGGCCCCCGACTGCTTCACATTCCTCCAGTAGAGGAGGTCAATCGCTGGAAGGGAAGGACAGAAGAAGGAGAAACAGGGTTAGGACCAGGCGTTACCTGACCTGCCACAAGAAGGCCCGGTTATCCACAGGAGTATCTGTTCCTAAGTGGATTCTGCGCACTACACACCACACATTTGGGTCAAATATCTGGAAGCTCTTCACAACTTGATGTCCTCAGAGATCCTCAGCTGTCACGTGATCCTGATTTAACCCAGCTTCCTAACCTAGCTTTTCATTCGGTTATATCGAGCTGTGAACGTGGCGATAAGTGACAATTTGTCGGTTCAGTTACTTTACTCCTATATATAGAGCGACCTCTGAAGAAGATAATAGCTGACTCTCCCTTGTCGAGCAAGTGGTGCCTCTCTCCGCTACAACACTCCGGAAAAGAAAGACCTCTTATTTACGTCTGACGTGTACTTATGGTCGGTGGCATCTGGTCTGGTCTCAAACATATACAAACATCTATGCAACCAGGAAGAAGAAACTGTATTACACCAGGGTTACTTACTGCAGAATTAATGATTGACCTATAGCGCTGTGAAGGCAGTCTCAGACATAGAAGCACTATCAGCAGTTTACAGATAACGGTTCAATGTGACCTGCAGCTCTGTGGTCAGTGAGGAAGGATGACAAAGCTTCAATGCAGTGTCTCAGTAATGCAGTGAAATGATCCCGTGTCACTTGTTCAGGAACAAAGAGTTAAGCTACACAACATGCCTGCCGCAGGCGCTCGTGCATCTTACTGCACCATTTTCCTTTATATTCTAACATCTTCTTTTTTCTCTGGGTGGCGGGGCCTGTAATTCAAAGCCTCTGACAGAGATGAGAGAGTGAAGTGATAACTGAGGATTAGCCCAGTGTACCATTACAGCCGACACGGTGCTCCTCTGGCATTCGTCTGTGTCGGCTGGAAACATGGGCCCGTTTCCATGAGAACTGTCGGCTGCTGGTTTTACCTCTGTGTGTATGACAGCACTATCAGTTAACCATTCATGTGTTTTTACCAACACCTGGAAATCCTTTGTGTAGTGTAAGGAGGCGAGGAGAGGCAGTATGTTAATGTAAACTTGTGTGCTCGTGAAGAATAGAGATTCACAGCTGAGGTCTCTTGGGGTTTTACTCTGCCTCTCTAAGCTGTCCGCCTGCCTGTCTAATTTTAGCCGTGGAGCTGTGAGCAGCATAGTGATGACCGCCATCTTTACTCTCCACTAAAAGGCATCTATGGATGCCAAAAAGTCTAAAAGCCGGGTGTCAGAAGGGCAGACTTTGTGACTAAGAAAATCTCTGCCGCCCACAAACTATCCTCCCTGTACTGTGAAATAACACGTATGATCTGTGTTGTCTTAAGAAAACAATAGTGACTTACAGTACCTATCAACCCCTTGCTCCGCCCCCCCACATCAAATCAAAGACTCATTCAGAAATGGTGAGGCAAAAAATCCTTATGCTGTACATTCACCACTCCCCACAGATGCCATTGTTTCTGCCATCACTGACAAAATGTCCATGTGATAATCTCAAACACACACACACACACACACACACACACACACACACACACACACACACACACACACACACACACACACACACAGCTCTGCTACAGAGACAGGTGTTGGTGCCTGGTGATGTGCTGCAGACTGAGAAAGCTTTATCTATTGCAGTAGAAGCATGTACTGACCTGCGGCTCCCATGGCTGAACAGGGAAAGAGGCAGCTGCTTTATCCACAGACAAAAGGAGAGCAGTGGAAGGGGAGTCCCCCCTGCACAGGGGAGGAGGGGCCACAGCCACACCAGCAAATCAGCATCGGCCTGCGCAGGGGGACTGAGGAGGGGGGGTGGCGTCTATGGGGTGCGGTTGCCAAAGAATCACATTGCAATCCTGCACACATACACTAACACACACATGCAAACTCTCTCTCTCTCTCTCTGAGCTCTTTTATGCTCAGGCTTTAAAGCGCAGCCCCGCTGACAGAGAATGCCAGCCAGCGACTAAAATAAAAGACAGTGAATCAAAATGAAAAAAGTCCTTTTTAATTAGCAGTTTAGACCTTCAGTAGCTAAAGATGAGGCAATTACAGTCACATTGTGTGCTAATCACCCGCACAGACTGTAATCATTATTTTACTCCTCCATTAAAATGCTTCAGTGGCGAGGAACTGCTGAGCACCTGCCTGATGCAGTTACCATAGTTACCATGCTCCATTTTCTCTCCACCGCTCGCTGAGAGATGATGAGAGGCAGGAAGGGAGGGGCTGCAAGTGGAGGGGACAGGGAGGGAGGGAGGGAGGGAGGGAGGGAAAGAGCCTCCCTTCGGGAACAAGGCAAAATTCATTTGCTCCAAGTCTGGAGAATCAGCAGCACATAATGTGTCTACAGGCCGACACAGGAACACAGCCTCTCCCTTTATTGTGCAGCACAAAAGGACAATGGCAGGTTCAACACAAAGCCAGTTAGTTGTCAAGTCTGTCTCAAGAAAATAAGAAAGACTGTGTCTATAAAGGGTTGAGTCACATTACAGACTCGGAGCTTTACAGATTTCAGTAGAGTAAAAGATGAGAATAAAAATGCCTTTTAATGAGTGCAGCTGGTTCACATTAGATGACAGTTGGCGTGAAAATTGATGATCTTTATATTAACGCACGCTCCAAATATAGAACATTTAGTTTTGACAGTAGCAACAACTGAACTGCATGGTTGACAGTTAAATCTTAGGATGTTGAACTTGAGTACAGAGGAAGTACAAAAGAGAAGCTCTGTTTCTCTATTTGACTCTTGCCTCTGGTATTAAACACATTGGCCTACACCGAGTAAAAACCAGAGCAAATGATAACCAGCAGTGACAATAATATGATTCCCCCTCCCTCTTTTCTGTAGTGAAACTAGTTTAGCCTGACCTCATTAGATTACTGAAGAAGACATCCTCGTGGCCTCAAAGCAGCCGTCAGAGTGAAACACGTAAAAAGCCTTCTGCTGTCTACAGACGAGATTCAGGTCTCAGACTTGGAACTGTAACTCAGGGACGATACGTTTAGATTCGGAGGCCTCGTGACGATTATGTTTCCGTCTGTTTTGTTAGTAGGACTTCGTTATTGTAGGAATTTCTGATTTGATGCATAGACATCTGCCAGAGCTAATGTAGACAGAGATAACTCAGCAAAGAGAGCTTGTCCAACAGAAATCAACCAATGGGGACAGTTAACAGAAACTCTGAAAAATGTCAAGCATTACCCTGAGTGGATTTCAAGGTTTGATTCTTCTTTCAGACCTCTCTATATCATGAAACGTATTTGAATACATTAAACAACACAAACAGTGAGTAAGTCCTGCACTATGCCAGATAACAATCAAACTTTGTTTTTGAACGGCCGGAATATTAACGAAACGAAAACATACAATATGGTTAAACTGGTTCTGTAGCTGCTTTATTTTTTTTATAAAGTAAAACATATATTCTTTATCTTGTAATCTGTGTCGCTTTGTGACCATTATTCCATATATTAAAGAATATATATGTATTTGATAAAGGTAGCCACTTGATTAGGAGACACACACAGTCCGGGTTTGGCATCAGAAACCGGACTGCTGTGTCATCTTGAGTCCTGTTTAATGTTTCTACATTTTAAAGTTGTCTGCATCATTGTTTAAGAAATATTTGTAAGAAAATAATGATAATATCATGGTCCAGAAAATCCCATTGTGTTACTTAGATAATACAGAACCACTTTTTTGTGGTGGATTGTGTAGCATAAGTTCAGCCTGAGGAGAGAAGCTGCTAGCTTGTTGGCAGTGAGTCAGTACTGTGCATGTGCAATGAGAATGACTAAACATAAAAATGCCTTCAGCTTCAAGCTAACATTCTACTGCAGCAAATAAATCAATTCTTATCCTTTGCTGTGCCTACTGACTCAGCTTGATTTGATGCGTCTGTATGTACATGATCCCATCAGATAGAATCATGTTACCCAGTCTCGGACAAATCAAATGGAAAATGCATGACTCAGTAGAATAATGCCAAATGGAGGTTTGTCAGAAAGGTTATTCTTACAGAGCTGCACATCCACGATCAGTGACTGTTGCGGCCTGTGTTGAGACAATAAGCGGACCAATGTGTTGCATTTGTACTGCTGAGCTAAACCTAAAAAGATGGCAGATAATAAACCACAGCCTGTGTGGCGGAAAGGACGCCATTTTCTGCCAAGGCCCCTCTACGAGCCCTCCGTGCTACGGAAACACACGGAGGATGCTCTCCTCCGGCCCGCTCTGCAAGGTGCCATGGCAGCCGAGGAGATAGGGCTGATGTAATCAGGATGGGTGTGCCCTGGTTACCATGGAGACAATCTGTCACTGCCGTCCTGATACCCCGACTGCCTGGCTACACAAAAACAGAGCATACGCCATAAAAAAACAGCTCCCCTGCGCGGGTGCAGAGCGGGGAGGGCAATGACAATGACACGCCTTAGTCCACAGCACAACGCTGGCATCCATATTAACATGCACCCAAAACAGATGGTTCTAAGCACACTGGTGGGTATGCACTTACTTTCCAAAACACCCACCAGCGTCTCTCGCCCCACGCTTCTTTTTTTTATTGTCTCACACACATCCAGCAATAAAAATAATTTGTCATCAGGGCGTGACCTGGTGGAGGTGCATAATAACCATGATGTTACATTTCCAAATACACATTTAGATGACATGATGTACACATGCAAATCACACACACACACACACACACACACACGTTCAAGAATACACTGCTACAGTGTCATGAATATTTAACCCACATGCGGAGATCTCTCACAAACACAGACGGACTCATGGGTAAATCACAGTAAACACATCAGTACCCTGGCCCTTCCAGCCGCTCCAGGCGCTCTCCTTCTTCGTTACGTCTGCAGTGGCCTGCATGCTGGTGATCAGTTATGTCCCTGTTCTCTTTTTCTCTCTCTATATGGTCTCCGTGTTCTTCTTTGTCTCCCTCTTCAGTAGCACCGACTCACTCACTCATCCCAGAAAGGCATGAATGGTCGCAAAAAAAGGATGCTGGAGATAGGCTGAGATGACAGAGGGAGGAAGGGAGGGAGGGAGGAAGGAAAGGTTTCCAAGGTGCAGCCGGCTCGTGGAGCTCACAGACTGATGCTGTGGAGCAGCGTTGGCTAGAAAAGAAGGAGCGGGGAAAGTGCGTATGTGTGTATGTGCGTATGTGCGTGCGTGCTGGGGGAGGGGGTTCAAATTGTAAACACCACACCACAGTCGCTGCTGCAGCAAACCATCCATGCAATGATTAAGAGCCTCAGGGGGTGAGAGGGTGCATGGAGATGGTCGGAGTCTAAGCTCTTGTTCTTTAAAGGGAAGGTAAAGTAGCTTTCACAATAAAAGCTCTAACAGCATCCAACAGACTGGTGATAGCCGGGTACAAGCAGTGGGAGGGTTACCCCACATACGCTTGTCATATACCTTCAAGCATGCCGCTGTGGCTTCCCTAATAGCTTGTTAGGTTTTTTCATAATAGATCCTTATTTATTAATGTTGCAATTAAGGAAATAGGCTTTGAATATGGCATGTTAGCGCATTCTGTACAACTTAAAAAGAACCGTTTTAATAATCCAATGTCATGTTTCACAGTTGAAAATAGCCAGACTTGCGGCCATGTTGCTAAGGAAAGATATGGAACACTTCCAGATTTGTGGTTCTTTGTTTTTGCACAGGATACTGTTTAAGGTTGTAGCCAAAGATTGAAATAGATGTTTCCACTATGACTCACTGTTAATTGAAGAGACAAAGTGCTTGTACTTTAATTATTCATATTGAGAGACCCCGGGCATTACAGCACAATATTCATGCTTTAGTATTCTCAGGGTGTGTTGGAGATTTATGATGTTCTGTTTTTTAATTCAAACTGATCTGTAAAAAGACCGGGCAGTGTAAGATGCTTAAAAAAAGAATAACAAAAAAAATCTGCACAATCACTGTTTTGTCAGCACTGAGCAGAACGATTCCTTTATAGTTTACGTCATTTTTCAATCCAATCAAAGCCAATAATCCTGTCCTCTAGCACCCCCTCCCTCAGCCCCCGGCAGGCAGCCACACCTCACACCTTCTGCTCACTGCAGCCATGACAGACTTCTATGCCAAAAGCAACCAAGATAAACGACAGAAAAAAAGATTTCCCTGAACCAGACTGAACACGCTCTCCCATCACTGTTGCTATGGCAACTGGCATGGAAGAGCTCGGACTGATAAAAACAATATTGCATGGTCTTCAACATAGCATCCATAACAAAGGCACAGTGCGCCCTCTAGTGGTGGAGAAAATACAGATGACCTGCTTTTTACAGTTTCCAGAAGCTTCTCACAGTCTGAGTAAACAAATCAAGGAATGCCTCTTCATTTACGATGTAATCACACCAGCTCTAAATCATTTACATTTTAAATGTGTAACTGAATCAATCATCACATTCTCCTTGACCAGTAGATGTTAGTTTTAGGAAACCAAAATCAAGCAACATGTTCTCAGCTCGAAAACAAAGTCAAATGCAAGAGAAGCCCCCGCAGCCCCTCAGTAGGAGTGTACCCCAGTTTTGACATCATAGTATTATGTAAACCCTCTGTCTACAAGGGCAGAGACAACAGACAGTACTAGTCAAAATATGAAAATGTGCACAGCATAGACTCCTGCTGACTACGACTAGCCTGTCTGACCACGTGTTATGTAAGGAACCTGTCAAGATGCAGAACGCAGTTTTTTCCCAACATATGCAATTTGATTAATCATGCTTTGAGTTTTTTTATGAAAACACAGAATAATGTTGAAGGGTTAGATATGTTGGCAGTTGAGCTTCAGTCGTCATGCATTGTGGTAAATGTGATTCAATGCATCCTCACCCTGCTTATTTCTCTCTCAAATGTACCACCAGGTGGAAGCAGACTTCAGGAAAGTACAACATTTAGTTCCCACCCACCCAGGAGCAGAAACCCCAGAACATCCCATCTCTCTGAGCAATGCTGTTTACCTTCTCAGCCCTGTCAACAAAACAAGGTCAATGCACACCATGCAGGTAGCTACCGGGAGGTAAACAAACACTACCAGCGTCAGTAATTAGATTAGAAAATATGCTTTCAAACTGTTTTTAGCCCCTTATATAATGGGAAAGGTTTAAATGCCATGCGATTGCTGTTCCATTTGAGCATGAAGGCACATCAGCATACGCAACGCTACCTGTTCCACAGCACTATTTCTGGAAAGCCAATACTGGAGATTTTAAGCCAAGGTGAAACCACTGCAACAATGAAAAGATTACAGACACATTTTGTAAAATCCTTTTTCTTAGAAGCATTACCAATATGTAAAAAGTGCTTTAGAAAATCAAGATAATTCCGACTGACCTTTTTGTTTATTGAAGCCCTGCAGGGGAGGTGAGGCGGCGGGCTTCCCCAGGTCTCCTTTGCCCTGGTCGCTATGCATGTTGTCCTGGGGGGGCTTCTCTGTTCTCACCTCTGGGGGCACGGCAGCAGTGGGTGGCTTGGGCTTGCTGGGGCGATCCTCCTCTGTTTTCACTGGGGTCTTCACTTTTTCAGGGATCAGGGGCTCGGCAGCTACAGCCTCAGCCGGACTGCGGGGAGGGGCGGCACGAGGCACCAGGGGGGAGGGGGGGCTGGCTCCCTGTTTGGGGCCACTGAAGCCCTGCTCTCTCTTCGGGCTCTCTTCAGACGCAGACTCAATGAACAGATCACTGTCGAGCTCTGCCTCTCTCTCCTCCCTCAGAATGCTGTAGCTAGTGGGTGGAGCGTGGTTGCCTGCTTGGCCGAAAGCACCCTTAGCGACCGGGGGATTGTCGAAGGGGTTGTTAGGCTGGCTGACAGGGCTCTTGCTTTTAGGCGGCTGGGAAAATGGGTTGCTTGCGGCCTTTGGAGGCTCCTCAGACACCAGCTCTATCTCTGAGTCTCCAGACTCTGCGCTGCTGCCATCGTGCTCTCTGCTGCCAGCTTTAGTGCTGGGGCTGTTTTTGGAAGCAGTCATGTCATGGGAAGGAAAATCTTTCTCTGTTCAAAAGGAAATGCAGAAGGGACTTTCAGATCTTCAGTCACATTACACATTCAGACATACGCATAAAACTTCAAGCTATTCTATGTAACTTTTAAGAAGAAATAACACAATCTTCCTATCACAAATCAAATGTTTACTTTCTCAATTCAGTGTTCCTGTTCCAACCTCACAAAGTTAGCTTATGATGACCAATAATAATAACTTGAAATAGTTGTTGTATAACAGCCAATACTTAGTCAGTTTGCCGGATGTATGACGCTACTTTTGCTACTATTTGGCTACTTACGCCATTTCAGAAAAGTTGTAAAGTAGAACTGATTCTATTCATCTTAAAAATGGCATCAATTTAATCTAAATGAAATAGTTTCTTGATTTATAAGGTTTTTAATTCTCTTAATTAGACAAACACATGCATTTTAATCGGATTACTCTATCCATAAACAGCTTCCTAATTTGAGCTGATACTGCAAACTTAAATTACATAAACAATTATGGGGTACTTTATCTACCTCACCAACTTCTATGTGACAGGTGTTTGTGTGTATGCTGTGCCTACGTGTTGGTGAGGCGTTGGGAGTGGAAGCAGGGCTGTCATCCTCGGGCTCAGAGAGCGTCACAGTGGGAACCCCCTGTAAGCCCACACTGAGGACGTTTTCACGCTCAGACGCGCTGACCGGGGGGGGGGCTTTCTGCTGCGGCTCTGCTGTGGCGGTTGGGGGCTGGGACTCGGTCAGCGTGATCTTCACCGGGCTGGCCGTCTGCGGGGTGCCACCAAGGTTTCGGTAGGAGCGGTAGTCTGACAGCTCCTCATCAGATGGCTCCTCGACGTAGGGGAAAGACTGGGAGCCCAGTGCTGACCCTAGGTTCTCCTCTTCTTCCTCGTCATCTCTTCCAAGGTTTTTATCCATGTAGCTGACCAATGAGTCGCGACCAGATGAGCCCGTGTCCACCAGGCTTTGCTGGTCGCGGCGTTCATCTCCGTGGGTGATGTCCATGTAGTTGTAGGACTCCGTCTTATCAGAGCCGAACATAGACTTTGGCATGTCATCAGCCAGGCTGGAGGTCATCTTGGTGTTGGAGCTGAAGCTGTAGTTGTCGCTGGAGAAGGGGTCCAGGTCAGAGGAGCCGGGGGAGGGCTTGGTGGGCTTTAGGTCATCAGACAGGTAGGAGGCTTCTCGACTCTGATTTGACGTCAGGGAAGTGTAGACATCACCGTCATCATTCATAGGCTTCCTGAACAGGCCAGTCATGGGGTCATCTACAGAGAACAACAGGAACATATCAAATCAGTGAGGTTACACACAGGGAACTGATAAGGAAGAACAACAGTTACACGATGAAATAAAAATCATCCAGTTGAAGAAGTCTATGCTTCACATACACTGCTGCCAGGGAGAGGGGCTGTGGGGAGGGGGGTGCTCGGCTGTGAAGTTCAGTGAGGCAGCAGTAACAGAGGGTTCTTGTACCCAGTGTGGGACAAAGGGGGATTGTTCAGACCCCAAAAAAACACAGTGCCACAACCAGAGTCTGTTCTAAGTCCTGCAGGCAAAGAGTTTTCTGTAGTCTCATCTCTGCTCTGTACTCCCTTACCCTGCATCTCCCCAGACAAATGAGTGTAACAAAGACAAACAGACACATACTATATTAACAAACTACTGCATGTGCAGGCTAGCCTCTTTAAAGTGTGAATGGCTTAAGCTAGGCTACTCTATGTGGACAAACCTCTTCCATGATGAATGTATAAAATCGATATTCTAAAACACATCTCGCTGAATACAGTATGCAACACTCTAATAAATACAATTACTGTGACGCAACAATAGTGCTAATTGTGTTTAAATCTGAAGTAAGGATTCAAAACCTGCAGTTGTTAGCTCTGAATTTGTAGGCTATGTGCTCTGCTGTAACATATCGCTCAACCTCTCACTGAATAATTTGTTACAGTTCTGCAGGGAGGCGTAAAGGATGCTCAGATTACATATGACTTGCAAAACAGGAAGAGGCGGACTTGATAGGAATGTTGCTCTAAATAAGTCGAGGTCAAGTATTCAGATGTTTGGCTTCATGTCTTTAAGTCATTCAACTCCACTAACAAATACACACTGTCTCATGTTTATACATAAGTACACAATAATAAACACAAACTATGAAGTACAGCACCACCCATCTGATGCTTATGTTTTTGTTGTGCTGTGTACAAGTCAGAGTTTATACTAACACGTACGGAGCTCCTCCTCCTGCTCTCTAGTCCTTCTTTCTCAGGGCAGCGGTGGTGCTATTTATAGGCTGAGTCCAGCTGCTGGGCTGGATGGGGGGGGACGATTACAAAAAATCCGCCTCAGGGTTAGCTCTGGAGGATGCGGACTGACTGACAGAAGACCCAACAGGTCAGGACGTCCCTTCCCTTCCTTCACTTCCTCTAAAAAGCCCCACCACCCTTTCCTTCTGCTGTCCTTCCTTCTGCTGCTGCCACAGTCATTAACAATACATCATACCGCAGTACAACGGCGTAAACACTACACACCCATGCTGGGACTAAGGGGGAGGGCTGACGTGACATGTAGGAAAAGCAAAGCAGGCTCTTGAGCTTCAGATTATTTTGTATCTTATAGACTTAAATGTCTTGTAGGTTAACATCCCAGCTGTTTGCAGTATGGACGGACACATCTGTGGGGCCAAGTTCAGTTCAGGGACACGAACGCCCTTGATGTACTGCTGTTGGAAGCAATGTTAATCCTCTTAGTGTACTATCATCGTATAGGTCCCATCAGCCATCACCCTGGCAACACCATCATAATCTTACATTCACTGTCACTTATTCAAAGTAAAAATACCAACTGTTGTGGGAAGCACTCAGGCCACTACAAACAGCTGTGAATAGCCAGCAAGACCACACACCCCCTCCCTTTATATCAACCTATTCAACATACCAACAGATAAAGTCAGCAGCGGTTGCGTAAGGCATCTGTAACATAAAGAGGCCGGGGCTCGAGGGCAGCCGTTCTGGGCAGCTACTTGCTGAAGTTGGTGTGCAGAGATTAAGGGCGTTTTGAATCTGCTGATATAGCCTATGGCACCCAGACTCTAAGAAAATACCCAGAAGGCTGAAAAAAATGGTCTGCTGCACTCAGATGGGATTGGACATGACAACAGAGGAATTCTCAACTCACACTGTAGCCACAAAACATAATCATGTCACTGAAAGGATGGTGCAGTTGAATAAATAAGTCCTGGTGGATGTGCTGCGAAGGGGCAGTCCTTTTGTTGTCCTCTGTGCAGCCCCGAAACTAATGCAGCCTGACAATCTGTTCTACGCCAAGGCATAGGCTCCTAATTATCAGGCTACAGACAGAAACATGCGAGCAAAGACAATATCAAAAGAGCCAGGGTTACAAAATGAATACATTAGCACTTTGAAATGAAAGGTTTACTGAGCTGCATGTGGGGCTCAGTGTGCGGCAGGGTTTACTCCCTTGAAGACCCTCACTGATCCACTGCAGTTATGCAATGTGGAATAAAATGAATAAACCAATATGAACAGAAAGGGATGTTAAAGAAAATATGCGCAAACAGCTGTGCATGGTAGTCTCGATAGGGTTTATTCTCATTGTTGTTTAATTTATCCATGATTGTTTCAACTCAACCATAATCCTTTAGTCTTTATAACATGGCCATCAAAACTAGACACATAAAAACATGATGTCTACTAATGTTTTGCTTTTCCAAATATCCCAAAAAGAGTTATATTTGGCCAATAACAGCAGTGTATCCTCTCATTTGAGAGTCAGAAGGAGTCAAGTGCAAGGACAGAGAACATATTTAGTTTGCCCAATTAAAATAAGCACCAGCACAGCCAGAGTGCTTACATTGAAGGAACAGTCGGGATAACACAATAAAACCCCAAGGCTAATTTCCATTGAGTGGGTAGCTGCTGACTTCTCAAGGAACTGTTTTGGTCCGTCATTCATTTCATCACTAGCTCAACTTAACTTTGAAACATCTGTTAATGTACTGCTCTGTAACGATTCAGCCACTCTGTCCCTGACCCTCTCCACTGTGGTGTTATCTTTCAGGAGTTCTCTTTCTCTCCATGACCTTGTGGAAATCAATCCATCAACACGCCTACTGTGCTCTTCTTTCAAAGCCGTCTGTTTCTTTAATGGTCATTCATATGCTCAGCATTATTATTTTAGGTATACATTGCCCTGTTTATTGGAAACTGTGCTGTACTGTGTTCGGAATGGTAATAACAGAAATGGCTTTGTAGATAATGTACATTGACGTTTCAATAAGGCGTGAATACACCTTGGAGGAAGCCTTCCAGGAGAGAAAAAAAACACAAAAAACACCCAGTATTAACACAGAATACAGGCTTGACAAAAGTAAAAATGTTCATTCTCCTGTTATTTTTTGTAGACATGTTTTGGGCATTTTTCTTTTATTGGACAGTGACAGTCTGGAGAGAGACAGGTCAGGCAGGGGAGAAAGAGAGACGGGATGACATGCGAAAGGCACAGAATGGAATCAAACCCGAGCCGCTGCGGTAAGGACTCGCCCTTGATACATGGGGTGCCCCATTTGTTACAATTCATTCTGACATGTTCCTATAAATATGTGGTTTGAAAGTACTTTGAAGTCCATATTGTGTTCTGTAAGAGTTGTATAATATAAGACTCCTATATCAATTCCCTTACTTAGTTTGCCGGAAACACCACTTCGAACGGGTGATGGTCTCCAGCTTTAAAAGCTTTGGTTATTACGTTTATGTTTGTAATGTATTGATTAGAATATCCTTGGCTGCAGGCATGCATTATGAATACTAGACACTTACTATCCCTCTTTAAAGAAGAAGATAATGGAGAGCACAAAAACAGTCTATACTAAGAGAGGAGGTGCAACAAAACTACTAGCAGGGGTCGATAGGAGAACAGCTGTGGTGAGGGACTCAACAGCCCTGAGCTGCATTGATCCAAGACAATGAGGACCTACAATTACTGTAAGCAACGTCACTGAATCCACTACTCCTAAAAATTCATTTTAAGGCCACACAGGACAAATGTTGTTGCAGCAGCTTTTGCTGAAGATAAATAAATGTGCAGGCAGTTTAAATTAGGCTAATCTGCCCCCATTCAGACACTGAAGCGTTGGTACGTACAGTACCTGTCTTTCACTGTATTGATCCTATTTCCCTTGCTTGGATAGAGCTTTAAGGATGAATGGAGAGGATGTGGGAGGATCCAGACTGTCCGCATGCTGTCTGCTTGGGGTAAAAGCTGTCAATTCAGTGTGACTTTGGATCGGCATTTTACTTTCTAGATGCAGACAGAATGTGGCATTAAAGAGTAACGACACGGCACGATACACAGGCTTCAATATAAAACACAAAAAAGATAAATGGACTACCCTTTTTAAAAGCATCGACGCTGATGGGGGGCCCTAATCCCGTGAGCAGTTTTGCAATACTCCGTTCAGGGATTACTCCGGGCACAGGCTAGACATCTGGACTGGGGCAGTACGATCGTAAACATAACCTCATATTTCAAACCGGCTTTGAATCGTTTTCAGGGTAAACACAGGGGATCAAAAGACATCATAATTTATGATTTATTGATATAATGAAAGCACTAATGCTTTATTGTCCCCTGCAGTGGAGCGTTTTGGGCCTGGTCTGTCATTCCTTTATCTGTCCTTTTATAACTCAGCATTAGCTAATTGCTTCTGGAGACAGATGAAGATAAAAGAGATTGGAAACCTGGCAGGTAACACAAGAGATGAGCTCTCTAAATCACTCTGGAAAGCAGACACGCTGTACAACCTTTAAGCCTTATTTAATTATGTAAGGTGCTGGACAACACATTTAAATAGCTTACATGCAGAGACACTGACTCACACCTGGGAGCTGACATCACAGAGCGTTTGTCAGAGGCAGATCATACGTGATCAAAGATTTATTAAAGACGGTTCTTCGCATTTGCTGTTTTTTTCCCTTAGACTCCATCCATTTATCATTGCCTCGTCTCTCTCTCTCTCTCTTGCCATTAGGCTGCCCCCCCCCCCCTCCTCCTCCATCTCTGTATTATCTTGCATCTTTATCATCTAGTCTGAAAAGACCTAGCACTGCTTGGCCCCCTGGGAAAAGAAGCTAAAGGCCGAAATACACAGCGCTGGCTTATGCAGTCCAGCGGAGTCCACTAAGTGCTTTCTCTATCTGACAGATATGGAAAAGGCTCAGCCAGACATATGCTGTCTCATCCTTGTCGATGATGATACGCTGAAAAGTCCAGGACACCTTTCAGGCACTGGATTACGGGAGTAGGTTTATTATGACTGTTGCCCTGTCAGCAAGTGACAGTGATAATGGACTTTAAGGAGGAAAACCTTGTTGGAGAAAGTAAAAGGAATTTTAAAATGAGGTTTCACTGTTTTTATAATATCCATTTAGTTGTTTTCTTCTATGCCAGACAGCAGGGGAGGCAATCAGAATAAGGGATTTTAACAATACACTAAGACCTCATCATGATGCAGCAATATCTGCCACAGATGTATTTCGAATGCCTCTTAAAACCTTCACAGGATTGGAAACTGTGAGTCCATTGCACTGTGTTGTCCAAGGCTAAGTCTCTGTCCTGTGGTAATTGAATACAGCTGAAATCAGCATGATCCGCGTCCAGCGGGTAGATTACTGTCGTGAACATGATTCAGGACAGGCATGGGTCAATTACGTAGAGATGCAATTCTAGACATCTTGAAGGGATACTATTTCACAGTTAGCACTTTTTACTGCCTTCAGTGAAAATAGATATATTTATTTACGTTTCTTAAACTTAAAATAGTATTATGCGATTATCTAGATAGAAGCGCAGCAGAGAAGGAAAGTTTATTATAGAGGGAGTGAGTGTCTTTGACAAAGATCAGAATAGACTCTCACATGTCTGGTAGAGGAACTGTCTGCCCTGCTAGATGTGATGAGATCTGCACTGTTCTCACCAAGAACTCAAGTGACACAGGAAATTATTTCACTGGTATGGAGACAGTTCAGCTGGAGTCCGACTAATACAAGACAGCTTTTCTTTCCATTTGTGGAAATCAAAACATATTCTGTGTTTGTACCTACACAAGCTGGACCTTGTCTGGCACACTGTTGTAAAAGTAGAGCATGTGCATTGTTTTCTTTTCTAGAAAGCATGGCAAAGCATTGACTAAGCAGTTCATTTGCTCACATACTGTATTTAACACATTGTGCTTGAAGTGAATAGCATTTAGCTTTTCAAAGTTATGTTTGCAATTCCTTTTTTCAACACCTTTCAATCTAGATATTTAGATTATACTTTCACGCTAAATACTGTGCTTCAAAGGATTAAAGTCTAAATCATGCATTCAAAAATGCTCTTGTACTTAACGGATTTATAAAAAAACAAACATGTATTTTTTTCTTTTGCGGACCAGCACTAGCCAGATAAATGAGAACGTCTGAGCAGCAAAAAGAGAAAACTAGGCAGCTTTTCTTTTTTTTAAACATCATCTCATGAATTTTTCAGTGAATTCGTGAATGAAAGTACAGGGCTCTAGTTTTGCGAGCCAAGCTAATATTGAGTCCTGTTCCTTCAGGATTAAAAATAGCAACATTAGCCAAGCTGTGAGGAGAGTGACGGACTTAGGTCTGCATGATGTTTCCACAAAATACACTACCTTCAGCATCCAATAATATAGGTATACCATCAACAATAACAAAACAGGAATGTATGAATCCTGTCAACATGCAGGTAACTTGTTAATACAGCTAGGATGCTTTTTATATGTATCATCCCTCTACCCCAACACTATCAAGAATGCAAGTCTATTATTATACAGGCCTACATGTGGGAGCTGGTACACAGTGAACATCCATAGGCCTTAAAGTTCAACAGGCTATTTGTTAATGCATGTTGCATCCCATCTGAATCCTCCCTACAGACTCTCACCAACCAGAGAACTGTGTGTACTATTGAGGAAAACAACAGGAACAATTCATTAGGTCTCATGGCTATCTGAATAGTTTTGAAGACGTCCTATATCATTCCCTTCACCATCACTGCCGTGAAAACTGCTTCACAACAATCACCCTATCTATGTCGCTTGTATCTTTTGTGTTTTCAAGCCCAGAAGTTTTAACTCGTCCGATAGACAGGCCTTCTGTCGTAACGCTCGGTCTGTGACAAATGGACTCGGCTGCATGTCTATTTACACCCTATATACCGGGGTTTTGTTAGCTAAAAGCTTGCGAAATTAAACATAACGGGGCTGAAATAGGCTACTATTAGTCACTTAGTATTGATACTTAACGACAATAACAGTTTGCTTTACCTGTAGAGGCAGTTTCCATAGCAACGGGAGGCCTTTTCCCGTCGTCCTGGTGGAAAGGATGAAATTGTTGATCCAGGTCGCCCGCCACCTCGCCGCCTCTCGGCTTGAATTCGTCACGTAGGTCGTCGAACCGGGTCGGTGTGTTCCCAAAGAGGCCATTCCTCTCATAGTCATCTCCAAACCACCTCCCATCTGAGCCTAGCTCCTCACCGGGCTGAGCAGACATGCTTTTTCTTCCTGTTATTGGACAAAATATATACTAGCTACAAAGCTGCTTCTTCTTCTTCTCCGTCTCTACCGGCTGTTCCTGTAAATGAGCGGCGGTGTCCCTTTGCGCTAGAATGGCTGACGGAGACACAGTTAAAAATGCAGCTCTTAGCTGGCTGGGGTCTGTCAACTGAGAGAGCCTGCTTAAACTGTTTGTAGACGCCACAGAGGAGACGGTGCGGTCGGTCGGGGAGCAAAGAGGAGAGGAGCGAGGGTGATTGTTTTAGTTCACTGATCCAACGGTGACGTCATGGTGTCCGCTAGGCTTCAGGGTTGGCACTTTAATTGGGACAGAGTCAAATATGAAAAAGGGCATTTTCGGTATATGTTTTCCGTCTGTGTCAAGTGTTTGACATTGACGAAGTGGATGTCATCAAAAATGATGCTTGGTGTTGTAAAACAGACTACACTCATCCTACGTAAAGATAGTAGAAAGTATACGCATTGCCCAAAGAGAGCAGAAAGATAGCGCAAGTGACAGGTCAATCACACGAAATCACGATGTAAAAACAAACAGAATTCCAAATGTTTTATAAAAGTGTGCATACAAAGTGGATGTATGGTTGTGTGAACATGTAGCTTGCAGTGTGGCGCCATCACGTGGAAGCTCAACATATGATCTGGATCTGGACAAGCCAAAGTTTCAACATGGCTCCCTAGCAACCAGACGCTCCTGCCTGGACACAGACTGATGCCAAACATAGCTGATGGGCCAGAGTTTGAGATTGTCTCAGTTTAAGTCCGCAGATATTATGTAATTCTTCGGCAGGAAATAGTGTTCGTTTTGTCTGACTTGCAAGGTTGAGTTTTGAATAATATTTGTTCGCATTTACTGAGTTAACAACATATGCGTCTATCGTTAGCTAGCTGGTAAAGTAGCCTAACTTTAGAGGCTAGCATAGTTAGCATGAATGTTTGTTTTTTACTATCCTAATTTATTTGTTAGCATTTGCCCTATTAATATAACGGAATTAGTTTTTTGTTGTTGTTTCAAATAGACTACTAGAATAAAGCTTCATATATGAATCACAAAATCAAATTAAATACTTAATTTGGAGTAGTCTCAGCTGCAGTACAGCAGAAAAGTTATGATACAGAGTGAGAAACAAAAGAATCGCGGTGATGAGGAGGAGGAGGTCAAAGAACTGGTGAGTATCAAATGCACTATTTGGCTAAAGTAATAAACAATATCCAGTTGTATTACTAAAACATTAGTCCATAATCTGAAATGTTAAAATGCAACAGTTCTTCTTTTTTACTTAATCAATTTCCCTTTACTTTTTTCTTCTTCTCAAAAGTGCATGGCCAATGGGGTGTGCTATGAAAAAATTCGAAAAGAAGGAAGCAATGTAAGCTCCCTGGAGATCTTCTTCTCTGGTTTTCCTCGCATGGTTGGACTTTCCTTCTTCCCAAGGCTCTGCCAGCTGACCATAGTGGGCCAGGATATAAAACACATTGAAGGACTTGAGCGCTGTCCTCTGCTTCGGGAGCTCTGGGTAGTCCAGTGCGACCTGACAGTAAGTTTGTTTTGCTTGTCACCTTTCTAATAATCACTACTGGCACTGCTGAAACAATAAAATGATATGTAATGTCTCAAATTACAGTCCACCAACGTTTTTATAGTAGTTTTCGCAACGTAGTGTTTGTTGCAGGGGTAATTAAACCTTACAATTAGTAAACACAGAGTCTCCCCTCAGGCATTTAATGGCAACACATTTTACATTACGTTTTAGTGAATTGTACAACAAATGTCATATACATACAATAATGTGTTCCATCTTCTTATTTTGCAGGGAATATCTGGACTACAGAATTGTGTACAACTAAAGAAAATCTACATTTATGATAATCATATCTGTGAAATAAATAATTTAGAATTGCTGATCAACCTAGAAGTGTTGTGGCTAAACCACAACTGCATAACTCAAATACAGGTTTGTACAAAACACTATGAGTTGTCTGTCTGTCTGTGCTCTATCGTGCTGTCATGTTTATCTGGCATGTGTGGTTGTTTGTTTTTCTATAGGGCTTGGACATGCTTCAAAACCTCAAAGAATTAAACCTAGCTGACAACGATATTGAAAAGATTGGTACGTTTTTAAATTCCTCTACAGTTTCTTTGCCATGGTTAATTAAGATTCCTTGAGCTGTTTGAAAGAAATATTAATGAAATCATTTCAAACTTCTTTTTTAAGGGCATAGCCTTGATCCCAACGTTGGCCTTCAGAATCTTAATCTGTCCGGAAACAACATCAGCTCCTTTAAAGTAAGACTAAACACAGAATTATGCTTTTGGAATGTTTTTATAAAAAAGGTGTCCCACATATTTCGGAATCTTATTAAAATCCTGAGTCTGAAAAGGGTTATTCCAAATTCTTCAAATGTCGGCGTCAGTTCAGATTTTTAATCAATACCACAATGGGCTGGCTGTGCAAGAACTTCAATAAGGTATTGAGCAGGATCGTTTCAATGTATGTTATTCAGGATTCAATGATATACATTCATGGCTGCATCTAATCAAAAATACATTTTCAAAGACTATTTGGATGTTTGTGATATGCGGGTTTGTGGACATACTGTAGCTCATTCAGTCATGTTCAAGGTTAAACCGATGGAAACGTTTTATGACTAGCTTTGATTTGATGATCAACAACTCAAACATCTATCTGCAATCCACCTTTGGCCCTACCCAGCTTTGCTATAAGGAATGCAATCATTCACAGCACAGCGCCCACTATATTGCAACTACTGCGGAATCAAAGAAAACAAATTTGAAGGCCTATAACCTGAAGAGAAAGAACCCTATTAATAACTATCCCGTGTGTTATGTTGCTGTTATCTGTGTATCAGGAGCTGACCCTGCTTGCCCGCTTACCCAATCTGAGAGAACTAGCCCTGAAGGACCCCACTTCAACTCCAAACCCAGTGTGTCTGCTGTGTAACTACGCCACACATGTCCTTTACTACATGCCTGGCCTCCAGCTGCTTGACACCTATGACGTCTCGAGTAAGCAAGTCAAGGATGCAGCTGAGGTACTGAGAACATGAGTTACTTTTCTGAGTTTTTTTTACTCTTGAGAGGATACTAACTCTCTTGATTCATGTACATTGTTGTTGTTATTTCTTCTGTATTGTTAGTTCTTCAGCAGAGTTACAAATCATTCTTAAAATGTGTCATTTATTTAGATTTCAAGACACTAGTTTTAGGTGTCTTATGCATCACATATGGTCCTTTCCCTTTAAGTTAGCTTCAGACATTTAATTTATTTGGAAACCTTATTGACATATTGTTTAACATAAAGTTAGGTTCTTGAGGTTTGCAAAATTGCCATCTATCAAAAAGGTATGTCAAATGTTGTTTATTTGTTGCCTTTGTTTACTTTTAGGCCACAGTAATGAAAAAAATGATGTACTACAACATGCGTGTACATACTGCTCAGAGAAACCTGGCAGAGATCCGGCTGAGTCTAATGGAGAGGAAGAAAACCATGTTACAGTTACCCGAAGATTGCATCAGAACACTCAATCACGCCCTCAAGAGTGTATGTACAATCCATGAAACATGCCACAAACTATTTATCAGCTGTAACAAAAACATGTATTCTGCTCTTATCTCTATCTTCATATTGCTGTGTTTGTACAATAATAAGAAAGATGTTTTATACTTACCTAGCTTGAACGTGAGTTGCCGGCTAGTTGCAAGAAGTCCGCCTGCACCATGGAGGACGGATCCACTCACCTGGTTGAAGGTTCAATCGACAGAAGTGACATAACCACTGACATCAGTCCGGCTATGCAGCATAAAATACTCAGCAAGATTGAAGCACTGAGGGAGAGACTACAGCTATGGGCCAGGAGGCTGCAGGAGTCCGTATATATTTGAATAAAATACAAAGAGAATCTGACAGTGCTTTGCAGAATTAGGCTTCATACTGTACAGTACATATTCCTACATCCGACATTAAAAAAATCTCTCCGCTGTATTCAGGATTGAAGCCTGGTACGAGCGGGTTTGGACGCAAGCCACAAGCATGATGGAATATACAGTCCAGTTTCTGCTGATGGAGCTGGAAAGTGTTGGAAATATTCGTTTGGAAGAAGGCTGCTCTACTGACGCTTGGTACGTACTTACTGTATTATAATCAAAATCAATAACAACCATCATCAAAGTTAACATTTACAGACTACAATTAAATAAACTTCCCTTACATCCTAGTTTATTATATTCTTCACCCAACAGGTTTACTTCCTGTTGCGACCTCCTGCATTCCCGCTTTTCTCCTTCAGACTTCAAGGTTCACAGCATCACTGGCATTAAGGTCAACAGAATCATCCGCATCCACAACAGTGCTTTGAGGCTTCGCTTTGAGGACAAACTTCACACCCTTTTAGCCAGCGAAGAGTCTGCTCTCTCTTCACAGTAAGTATACTGTACTGAAGTCTGATGATGGTTGACACATTTTTCACAGGCATTCTTACTATTGCGATAATTCTAACAGTAATTGGACCATGCATTATTCAAATTTGATTCTAATTTCAAACTTTTTAAGCAGGAATTCCAAACGTCGGCTGGATCACTTGTTCTACGTAGCAGACTGTGAAAACTATAGCGAGAAAGAAGACAGTTTGTGCATCGTAGAGGAAGGCTTCAGAACATCCGAACAGAATGAGGTGTGTATATCATCTTTGGCTTGTTTCACACAAACACCAAATCATGCTGACTCTTATCATGTTGACTTTAAACTAGGCGTTGGAAAAAGATGGTGCCATACCTTTATCCAACAGCTTGAGTGTGGCTGAACAGCCCAGAATTGAACACACTCTACGACAGGCCAGCCAAGATTCAAAGCTCAATGCGGACCCGATCCCCTTCAGGCACGGTGAGTTTGATTTTGAAGTCTGTCTGTAAAATAGTACTGGAAGATTTGGGCCGTCCACAACAGCCTCCCCCTGTATGTGACTTTTTGTTTTGTTGCTTACATGCTTATGTTTTTTGCCTTTTAGGTCAGATTATCGTCTCCAAAGTGTTTGTGGGCCACAGCACGCCTCTCCGAGAGGGAGACCCGTTAGACAGAAGCAGATATCCAAGATTGATTTCTGTGTATCGCAATGTGGACGCTAAGCACAGAACTGCAGTCAGTCAAGGTATACGCTCTATTAAATATTAGGTGTTCAAGTATTTGTGAAATGTCATTGCAAATCTA